ATCATGAGACAAAATAAAAGGCCATGGCCTTTTAATATGGATTTTACAGAATTGCCTCTGAGGTGGCCTTCTATTTAGGGTGCCCTTCTAATATAGGGTGGCCTTCTATTTTGGGGGGGGGTTTACTATGTTATAATATTACGATAATTGCTCAAAACTTTAGAACAGGCGGCGTTCCATACTCGGAGCTACGTGCATCGATTAACTTCACATAAGTTTTGAGTTATGAACTTTTTGTCTTGTGCCATTTAAATTATATTATGTTAACGATTTCTAATGAGAAAGGCTTAAATTATTGACCAATTTATACTCTAGATCTAGCGAATATGGTCCCATAGATCGTAACAACTTTGGTCTTTGAAGCTTTAACCGTATTGGGCTGCAAATCTGGGATGATGTGTTGGACTCATTTTCGTGTGACAACGAAAGTTCTATGGAAGAACTTAACCACGAGAAGTGAACAGCGAAGGCAAGTCTTCGCGAGCAGATGCTGATTGAGATGCTTGAAACATCGTTCAAATGAGGGTATAGAAAGTTTCCACTATTGATATCACCAGATATCGGACTTCATCCACGCAGCTCTTCGTTCAAAGGGCAGCCCAAAACTCCACAGAAATCTTAAAACTTTTCTGAAGACCTCCAATAACTTTGAAACCACTCTCAATCGATTCTCCATGGTCGGTTACCTATCATTATTATTTTCATTCAATCAAGTTGAGATGAAGTTTTCGACCAACAGCATCAATCCTAGTGGTTGCGCATATTCGTTTTCTGATTCTCCATACTCGATTAGCTCTACAGTGAAAGTTTCATACTAAATGACTTCCTGGATGAGAAAAGTCATTTATTCATTTTTTCTCTCTTGCGAACACCGAGGTCTTTCATCCCAGGCAGTATACGATCGTCACACAGTGGAAACAGTTTGTTCAACGGCTACCAAAAACTGTACTATCAAATTCCAAATTAAGCACACTGGACATTGAAAACATGTACACTAACACAGAAAAAACATAGCCTTAGAGGCCCGTACATATTGGCTCAACCTACACCCAAAGCTTTTTCATACCAGGTTCTCAGTTCAGTTTATCCTTGAAGCTATCGAACTAATAATTAAACAGTAGCTAATTTGACAGTGGCATATCTCGAAAAACGAATATATTTTCCATCAGTCCACTTACACCCTCCGATTGTTCTTACTCATATTATGAATAACTATTTTAGGTAAGTTGATGATGCTTGGATAATTTGGAGCAATACAGATCAATAACTGTAATTGTTCATCGATTCACTTAATAATATGCGCTATTCTATTAAATTTATCAATAACATCCAACAAAAACAAATTAACTATTTAGACGTATTGGTTTCATTAGATCACACCATAGTATCAACTAATCTTTATATATAACCTACTAATTCATTTAACTATGTACATTACAAGTCTACACATCTGCCACATTTGAAACGTAATACTCCATACATACTAACCCAACGAAGTAAATTAATTGTATCGAATCCAACACGGCGGGAGTATCATTTCAGCCAATTAGCATTACGGCTGCAAGAAAAAAGGTATCCTACATGACTTATTCAAGATGCGATACATAGAGCAAAGCAACCTACTACCATTTCTCGCGTGCGACAAGACAAGTCCATAAAGGCAAATAAAATATATTTTACAACGAAATATAATCCCAATAATCGCAAATTTCTACCTATTATGCTATAGCTCCAGCTGTTTTTTCTACATCCAAATTGTTATACAACACTACCATACATACATCTTACAGACAACCACCAAATTTAGGCACACTTCTCACTTCCACCTAACAATATTCTAATCATTCTCCAGCAACTTCTCGGTGTCGCCAACCAAATAGCAAAACGTGTTACACCCTCATCAAAGCAGACAGACTTACACTAAAAAATAGTAAAACAACATTTCCAAATAAGCTTATGAATTGCAATACACAAAATCTCATCATGTTCTAGATACAAAGAATTCTACATAGGTGAGACCGGTACTTACATACTTTACATATAAGAGCAAACGTTCATGCACGCACAATACATTCATACAACACAATACAATACATTCTCAATACACAATACTCAAGGTAAACGAACACATTCATAATTCTTCAAGAGGGGCTTATTCTATCTACCCTCTATAAAAAATGCCTCTAAACTGTGACACCAACAAAAGACGCCAAAAGGAACTCTGTTTTTGGCGCTTACTAAAACTGAAATTGAATAAGTGCAAGTCATCATTTTATATTATTTCAACTGAAGAGTTTTTAATAAAATGAAGCATGTTTTGAAATAATTTAGTTTCTTTCTCCGTTCTAATTTCAATATTTCAACCTGCTAGGTGAATTTGATTTTTACGGAATTTGATATATATCTATATATATATACTCTCGCCACGTGTATGATTGACGATACGAACAGTTCTTTCTCGGTTTAAACAGTTAAACTTTGTTCACACAAAAATCAGTGTCTGTTGTATAAGGCACTTTATTTCCTTTAAAGTAGAACTAAATCATAAAAAATAACCAAATTACACAGCAGTTGTAGTAAATAAGAGAATAGGGATATATAAAATTGTTTCTATTTATCTGTCGCACAGTTGCAATTTTTCTTCATGCATTTTGGGTAAGGTGTTTTTCATTCTCTTTTGCGACACATAAGGACTTAGTTAATCCGTGAAAGAGATGTGCCTCAAAAGAAAATCTGTCCAAAAATCTGTTAGCGTACCATTGTAACTAGCGAAAATGAGACCTATTTAGATAAGGGAACAGAGAGCTGAATTTACTGTGTGGTGTCATACAAACTTTCCCTTTCCCAGAAAGTCATTTTTAAGCGTGACGTGCTTTTTTCCGTGGGATATCGGAAAAGCAGGAATCCATTGAATGCACATCGAGAATTCACTTTTGCTCGCCGCCACACAAATTCCTACACTGAAGCCGATCCGAGCGATCAAGTGATAAACAATTTAGTAAATCACAGATGATCTGAAACTCGGTAAGGAACTGGGCAAAAGCAACAATTCCGGGAAACGGCTAGAATGAAATTAAGGTATTGGACAAAGTAGAAAATCAAATAAGGAATTCACGAATGCACAAATTTAAGGAAAGCAGGAATTTATGATAAAAATGAAGGAGTTAGACCATGGCTAAGTTTTATGGCAGTACCATTGATAACGCATGATGCAGTTGATGATGATTTAGAATTATTAATTGATAGTATATCGTTACCTGATAATTTATTAGTTGAATTTTTCCAGTATTTTGAAAAACAAAGGGTTACACGTATACTAGCAAAATATTGGAATTTGGGACCGGTTCATCTTCGGTGTAATAATGCTGCTGGAGGTACTGTATATTTTAGAGTGCAGTTCTAAGTGAAATGAAAAAAAATTTAAAAGCAGTAGCGTGCTACAGGTGTTGCTGGTTTTTGTCATTTTAGGATACAACAATTGACTTCAATATAGATTTGGTGTGCATCCACACCTATGGTCCTTTATTCATCTTCTTAAAGGTGAAGAATCATTAGTAATGATGAGAACAACACAAATGCGAAGTGGTAATTATCATGTTAAAACCATGCCGTTCTCACTGAATAATAAGCGTGCAAGAAAAAAAACAAAGCAGCTCAAGAATTTATCACGTTTATATGAAATTGGTGCAATATATTTAAAACAATATATAACCAACCTATCATTTGTTGTTGGTAAATCTACAACAGTTATTACAAGAAAAAAAGAGGCTACTCGTTGAACTTGTACATGATTTTTTTGTGTGTGCTGGGAAAAAACAAATATTTTTCTAAATAAATGCTTTTTTATTATAACGGCATAGTTGCCGTTATTATTAGAAGTTGATGATGTCTTCATTATTAAACTTAGTCATAATCAATTTATGTTTAACGAAATCATTTTAAGTTGCTATAGGATACCCATGAGTGAATGATTTGTATATTAAGATATCATTGAAGAAACAGATGAGACGAGTAATAACTAACTAATCACTACATAATTCCTAATACATATTGTCAAGAATAAGAAACAACGCGACTAGTTGTCTCATTTATTTACAAATATTTTTTCGTTGATATTGCCAATGAATAAATCTTTTAAACCAAAATTGATACATTATCCATAAAAAAGTTAATAAATAATTGTTAACCATAAAATTGATATATGAAATAATAAGGGCTTTGTAATTGTTGCCCAATCAAATTTAAGTACAATTAACCTTTCTGTGATGGTAATCACCGTTAATAACCATAATTGATTACCAAAATTTTTACTATGACTAAATATTAAAGTAACAGTAACAAATGTTCAAGAACATCTTATGTATTCTATCTTATTTCCTTACCTAATGTCTGATAAATATTCGTATCCCTCCCTTATTGCCACGATAGAAGCAAATAGAGTGAATATAAATCTTCCCACAAATAGAAAACGATCAAGTGGTATCCAAAAAATCAGTTTCAAATAAAACGTTACTATATGACCTAATAATAAGAGGATAACAAGATAAATTGTTCCAAGCCAACAACCGAATGCTGCTGGAGGATGCCAGTCGAATTCCATCCAATCCTGAAGTGTAACGTGATTAAGAACACACATAAATTTACCGCTAAAACAAAAAACAAAATCATAAAGATCCACTAGCACTTTATGTCTTAAATGGTGTCTCATTTCGTTTACTGTTATTCATTTTTTTTTTCTGTTACATCATCATTAATTAACAACAGCTTACGAGGAAATCACTCCAACTACCCGATCGCTTTTTCAGGAAACCTAGTGGACAATAGGTAATCGAGTATGCTGAACCCGAATATCATAGTGGTTTGGGTGTCTAGACCTCCAGAGACAGACTTTCTAGAAAACCAGTTTTTCAGAAACTCTAAAAGATAACCGAAACCTTTCTTAATAAGGCATACTTGTAGTGCGCACATTTCTGGTTAAAATGAGACATCTCCCAGCTCTACAGGACGTTTCTTTGCAAAGTTACAGAATTTACAAGAAAAGCCCTAAATGTTCATTGTCAGCTCAGAGCCACAGAAATAAGAAATTAATTTAGGGCTTTTCCTGTAAATTCTATAACTTTGCAAAGAAACGTCCTGTAAAGCTGGGAGATGTCTCATTTTAACCAGAAATGTGCGCACTACAAGTATGCCTTATTAAGAAAGGTTTCGGTTATCTTTTAGAGTTTCTGAAAAACTAGTTCTTCAGAAAGCCTGTCTCTGGAGGCCTAGACACCCAAACCACTATGATATTCGGGTTCAGCATACTCGATTACCTATTGTCCACTAGGTTTCGTGAAAAGTGATCGGACAGTTGGAGTGCTTCCCTCGTTAGATCAAAAAACAAAATTAATGAGGAAGGAGAGATAGGGAGACAGACAAAAGTGCATATAATACACACCGTACAGTTCGTGTTTTCCACATTCCTCTCCGATTATGAAGTTCTATTCTTAAATATTGACATGTTTTTATGCCCATATAAATACCACAAGCATTACATAGTAATGCATCTAATATCCACTACAACAAATAAACTATAGAAGATCTCACTACTATTTTTATCTTGTAATTGAAATAACAACAGTTAGTATAATACTGCTTCAACTTACATGATGCCACCAACATTCACCAAAATTCGGTAATTGATGTTCTAATGAATATTCTGAAATTTCAAATCCGATCAGTGTAACCACGCATAACCAATGATCCCGTAATATCAGTGCCTAAAAATATACATGTATATATACATATGTAATATAATAAGAAACATACATCTTACTGTAAACCACCAAACGAAACAATGTGAAGGCACAAAAGAATCCAATTTATCCTGCAAAGACAAAACAAAAAACTCGGCTGACAAGTAGATCTCAAAAAGTATATACTTTAACGAAATGAAATGGATCTTGTGGATGATTCCAGTCATAAATTTCACAGCCGTAACCATAGTCTTTCTCTGGCAATGGACGATTCAACGATGAATCAATATCGGTTAATAATTGTCGAACACCATCAATGGTCTATAAACAACATCATCATTATTCTCATGCAAGATCCGAATACTAGAGGTCTGCGCGGCGATAGTCATGTCTATGTCCTCGAACACTGGTAAACAAACAAACAAATGTCTACATCCTTGAGTAGTCAATGAGAAGATTATTACTGTGTGTGGTATACTTGAAATAAAATATAAATTAAAACAATTTCATATAAAACACTTAGACATAAGATTAATCTCCAGAATGCTAAAAATAAACAAACACAAAAATGTATAGAAACAAGAAAAAAGTCATTACACGTTCGCATACCGGGGTGTGGTCGAACTAACGGTCCATCTGGTGTTAGTACAATACCAGAGAGAAGAAAAACTACACTGTAAACAAGTGATGTCCTAAATTAGCAACCGACATGGTATAGATTTGAAAATAAATGTCTTCATATAATGAAACATACCGTTTTGTATTATACTCATTGTGTTTATCAAGTAGAGCAATGTAAAATACATAGGCTATTGATAACACTAAACATGTAATCGTGTACGTACTCCTAACAAATACGACTATTTAAATGCGAATTCCTGTTGTATGACGAGAAGGTGAAGGTATTTAATGACAATTTCAGTCAAATTGAAGATAGATTTGCACAAGAGGCCTCAATAAGTCGAAGAGACAAAAAGGAACTAAAGTCATATGTGAAGAAAAATGTGTCATGTTGAAAAAACGACCGTAACAACACCGTATTTGAGTGTCTCGGTCAATCGAATTGTATAAAACAAATTACATTTCTCGATCACATCGTGTTGGTAACTACGACCCGAAATCGAAAGCTCCCAGACCGATTATCGTCCGTTTCACCTCGTATCGTGCACGAGAACAATTCTACCGTAATCGACAGTTCTTGAACGAAACTAATTTTTATTATGCAAAATACGTGAGAATTTGACTAAAGATTATCTGGCGTTGTACAAATATTGTATTTAGCATCATCCAAATACTCGATTTCATACAAAAGACGGTACAGTATATTTCTATTCGGAAGATGGTCAACAACTATTTATACGATCGTACGTGGATAATGATAATTTACATTAGCAAAGTATTTCTTCGTACAATGTTCCTTAGCAAAAAAACTGTATGAAATTCTGCTGAATTTATAAAATGAGCTTGCTGACTATTTCTGCTTATATCACATCAGTTTCTCTGTTGTTGATCATATCCCTCCTTTTTATCTCCTTTAGAGAGAATGTTTATGGTCATCATAACATTCTTATTATTATTGCACGTTGTTCTTTCAGACAGATTCTTCTTTCCCGCGCTATAAGAAAAGCAAAACATGTTATTGTTCCTTTGCAGCTGATAAGTGGTAGTCATACCGAAAACCATTCCGCTCGGTTAAAACACACAATGACTAGAATGCACTCGTGGCATTTTCCTTTTAAAAAACTCCAACCTGCCATTTCGACTTTTTCTGGCATTATGTATTCTGAAATGAAAAAAACTGATTTTGCATTTCAGAATCCAAAAGCGATGAATTTACATCTCGAAAAGTCGCATTTGTCATTTTGAAAATAAAAGCTGCATTGTTCACCTTTTTAAATGCAAAATGCAAAAGCTTAGTATTTAATACTCAAATATTTACAGTTTGTGCAGGTTCGTATTTTATAGCCTAGTTAGATGTCCAGATATTCAGATATTTACAGGGGGAGGGAGAGAGTGGAGAAGGGCGCGGAGCAGCTTCGTGAAGGGAACTTGTGCCCTCGTTAGATCGTATTTGTGAAGATGATGAGTAATCAACTAAACATTTCTTTATGCGCTGTACTCTGTTTGATGCCCCTCCCCGACCGATATTGCAATTTCTCGCGAATATCCTAAAAATCAATACGGTAACAATTGCTCATGTTTTGTTGCATCACAGTTCGATAAGCGCACTCCGCAAAGAAAAACTGATCGAAGTATATAATGCCACCCTCTAGTGCTGCAGCGGTTTAATCAGCCTTGATGTTTTGTTTGCATCTATGTTAAATGCATTGTCACATAGCAGTAATTCATATTTCTCTCTACCATTCCTCTCTATCAGTTAATTGGTAACTTCCATTAGTGTGGACAAAGTGTCCAAAGACGAATTGACGAATCGCAATATTTGAGCGTAAAAATGACACAATAATTCGCATTTTACCATTGTTTTGCGAATTCGTAATTCCGTGCGAACTGATGTGAACTAACAAAAATGGTGCCTCTTTTGTTCCTCTTGCCAATTCGTAAACTGGAACGAAGTCGTAAGCAAGAAATTTCGGATACCCACGAATTCGTAAAACGAATTGATCGATTATTTTCAACACTACTGTCATCTACTTATCATTATATCATTTTTTGTTTTTTATGCATAATTTTAAGCATAACGTTCAAGTAAAAATAATAAACTTGTCGAAATTCTGTATTAACCCTTTGGCTCCCGGCGACATATAAATGCGTCTAGTTGCAATTATTGCATGATCATAATAGCTAGAATAAATTTGAAAAAAGATTTGAATAGCTGGAAGAATTTCCGATCTCAGGTGGTGTAT